ACCGTACAATTTACGTCAAAATGCCCATTCCCGTAATTTTCAAGCATTGTTCTAGTTTTCAAAATGTGCACTTTTGCTTAGCGTTAAAGAACTTGTCTGCATTTTTTCCTTCTATAAATATTCACAAATAACACTTTGGAGGACTGAAAATTTGGTGTAAGCTACAAGCATTTCTTGCTGGACCACGGAGATTTTTTTTCAAATCTCACTCTCATTTTTCCACCTCCCTTATAAATATATGATATGGGTACACTTTGCTTCACTTGCAGATCATGTCTGTGAAGTGTACGAGAATTCAGAAACTCGAATATTGATCTTTAGAGGAAAAGCGTGTTCGAAAGAAGCTACCATAGAAAAAGGATTCTCCTGCGACCTAGCAGCCTACACTCTGCCACCATTCAATATGTTTCCCTTCGTGTTCATTCGGTGATCGTCCACTCCTCCTCACTCGATACATGTTGATGCAGAGTTTCCTTCTCGAAGATTTGCTCTCGAAGACTTGTAAGAAAAGGTAACTGACTCTTAAAGAATACAGTAAGTATTTGTAACCGATCGCTTTATTGTCTTTTCTGCCGTAACAGAATGTCGACTGGGGAGAACCGTAAGAGAGACACTAACCCATGAGACTGCGAACTATGCGTTCTCCTTCGACTGCTTCACGAAACCAACAAGTGCTAACAGCTCCACGACGGTGGCGTTTATCACTCCCAAACATGTCTGCGAAACATTGAATTTGGTCTGCTTTCTGAAGGCACGTTTCTGACAAGTTGTTCTGAGTCTATCCGAATTGGATCTCTGACCCCACTCGTTCCAAGGTCCGAACAAGAGCGAGCAAACAAAGACTCAAGAGACCACCAGTTTGCCTTGTAGGTTGACAATTTCGTCAGAGAACTTGCCAAAGTGAGATTGAGATGAGACCACCATGTGAGGTCTACTAGATCGGAAGACCTCATCCTGAAGTTGACCTACATGTGAAACACAAACACTTGTGTACCTGTGAGAGTTACAGTACAGGTCGTGTGATGAGGGTGGAAATTCTTGACTGGGTCTAGACTCCAGTGATTTTGGGAAGGGTTTGATTTCTAAGAAGAAATTGTAAGCAACATTCTGATCACCATCACCAAAAGTGTGATGCAACCACATTGTAGTAAGTAACCTCTGGTTGCTTCTCCAGTACTTCTTGGAGTTGCACTTTGGTGAGTCTCAGATTACAATTTCAGATTACAGCTTACAGTCTCAGATTCGAAGGAGAGGTGTACCCTTCCTTCGATGATTTCTCATCTCCGTACCATTGTGCATCTTGACATCTTGTTTTCTTTCAGGTTATTTATAAATTAGTAGCCCGCAGTCGCAAGTGCACAGCTTTCCTCCAGAACATGTTTCATATCCAAGAGCCCAAAATATGAATCACACCGAAGATTAACATGGCTAATTACCGAACACAAAAACCTCAAGTGCAAACGATCATGTACACTGTAAGATTTCAGGAAGCCCATAGAAAGACTGCGCTCTTCACGAGGAACTTCTTATTGTTAGATTCACTTCCGATGGCGCGCTCAATACTAAAACTTTACAGCCAACGGTGGGAACCTAAAATTGCCCGCCAGTATAGCAAATCTTTTAGTAGATTTTTTTCTCAAAATTGGACGAATCTTCTATCCAAAATTTTTAGCTGACATAACGTTTGTATCCGTTCCTTAGAGACATGTATATTTATAGACACACACACAAACACACACACCTGCGCAAAAGCGTCTTGTGCTCGCAGTCTTATAGATTTCGATCTGAATCTCATGATGGAAATGTAAAGTGCATGGAAAGCGGCTCACAGACGGCATCACCAGTTGCCTACGTTCCACTGGAAGACGAGAGGGAAATTGGAAGACCTTCCTTCACATGAAACGCATCGGATGAGACCACAGCAGTCCCGGTGTATGTATCAAAGTCGAATGACGGCTTCTTTTTCACGTGAAGAGTATGCCTCTGATCGATACCCTCTTCTCGATTGACTTGTTTTGTACTGCAGGTCCTCTGTGGTAAGACTCGTCGGTCTAAGGCCGCCGACGAGTACGTCTACTGACCACAGCAGTGCGTAGATGGATCAATGTAGATGATGCTGGCTTCTATGACGGACTTTCGGCTTATCGTCCATCCCTTAGCCGCATTTAGCAAGAGACCACTATTTTGTCCTTCCGTATCACCCAGATATGTTGTTCTGCGGGGAATTGGTAAATTACACATCACGGTGACTCCCCTCTTGTACCTCTTGTGTTGGTAGTGATCTCTCCACTCTGGAACAGCGGACCTGCGTTCATCAGGCAAAAGGTAGCTGCGAGCCTTTCGTGCCTGAAGAGGACGAAGGGCGTAGTGCCCAAGTGTAAAGGTAATCAAATGAGGAGCATACATATTATATTATATTATGATGTTCGTGCACTCATGTAAATGCATGTGGCTAACTTCGACATCAGGCAGATGTTGTTGAATCTCTGGCACTCCTCTATCCAACAACAGGTGAATATACTACAGGACTCGAAATACAACGAGGAAAGTATCAGCCCCTTGCGAGGCTCCAGGTCGTCGACAGGAGCCTGCCTCGCCACCTTCCTCTCCTCTGGGGATCACCTTTTCCACGCCCAGTCAGTCCATCCAGTTCGGACTTTGGGGGTTTCTCACGCAGCTCCACGTCCCATCAGAACCCGTCTTCTGTCCACAATTCCTCCGGCCGCGGTCATTCAGTCCTGCGACCTTGAAAACGTTTGCCAAATTCGGAAGGACGGGCAACTTCGAATATAGACCTGCGATGCGCATCTCTCGCTCGCCTCTGTCAGAATTGCCAGATTTGTCATGCTACTTGAGGCCCAACCATTCAACAGTAGTTTGTCAGGCTATTTTGGGGTACAAAACGCGATTCCCAATTCGTCGTCGCAGATCAAATTTTCGACCAGATTTTGGGCAACCTGCCCACTTGAGCACGACTGTTGCTCCCCCAAACAAGTGCCTGGTGGTCGTATGTGCAGAGGCCGGAGTAATTGGCTAGGGGCCAACCTTCCTGCGATTTACGAAAGGTTAATTTTTGGGGTCGTGGAATCACTTCACCTCTTTTCTTTTCTGGAGTAAAAGCGTCGCTCTCATGGAGCATCTCCAGCTTTATTTAAGCCTATGCAAGACCGGAGTATGGTCCAGCAGAAACTAATTATAAACTGTCGACAGACGAGACGGACAGCATGTTGTGACTAACTCACCCTACTTGCTCACGCCAACGATAAAAGTCAGAAAACATTTCACTAATTCGGCTAAGCCTATGCTCGAGCAACTAATGGGAGTCAGGGAGCACGTGCCTAATTTTTATCAAGTCGATCTTGGACCCGGGTGGAATTGTTGTCATATTAACAATGTCGAGGTAGTTTGAGCAACTTATGGGAATCCAGGTGCATACGCCTAATTTTTATCAAGTCTATCTTGGACCCGGGTGAAATTAATCTCATATTAACAATGTCGAGTGAGGTCTACAGCATCGAATAAATTGAGAGTTTTCTATTCCTGACTCTAATTATGCGGTTCAGAGTTATAGACAAATGATGTTTGTTTGTTGCTGGTAAAGTTGTCTGTAAACTTTGAAGTCAACCATGAAAACAAAAAACAGAAGCAATATGCATCCAATATGCGAGAACGCTTGTTCACACTGCTCTTAGAGGAGTGTATTAAATTTTGGATTATTGGCGATAGATACTGCGACGAAAAAGAAAACTTCTGTGCGTCTATAAGATCTCACCGTAAATTATCTGCAAAAATGTAGCATTAGGAAATTCTTTGACGATAAACCTGGGCTTATTTTCAGACCCAGAATCATTCAGGGGCTGACTAACCTCTAAGCAAGGAGCATTTTGAAGCCAGAAATAAACCTCGTCTAAACCCCCAGTCCTATATACTAGCCAGACGGCCAGAGATTCGAGTACTCAGTACAGGTGCCTCTTCGGAAGAAAAGGTTCAGAGCCCAGGCTTTCAGAACTTGACCGTGTACCGGAAGGACACCTCCCGAAATACAGCCGCCTGTCAGTACGAAAGCAGGGTCAGCCAACTTTCAACGTAGTGGGTCTCCCGAAGACCCACTAAGTTGAAAGTTAGCTGATCGGGATTCCTGACATGACATGGATCCAGTAACACTGCTCGCTCGCTCTGGAGGTAGCGATGATCACAGCGCACCGAACGGGTTTCAGGAGTCCCAAGGTCCTCCTGCTAGGCCCAGAAAGGGACAGTAGAGGCTCGAGTGCGGGCGTGGTGATGGGACGACCGGACGGACGGACGGGCGGAGAGGAGTCGGTAGTCGGGGGCCGTGCAGATTGCCAGATTCCAAAGGAAAGGGAGAGGAGGAGGAGGAGGCCAGGTGAGGACTGTGCTCGGCGTCTACTTAGGGCGGGACGGGACGGCGAAGGGATGGAGTTCTCTCGGCGTCGTCGGATGCAGCATCGGACGGCGCAAGCTTCTCAAGATGCTAAGTATATATACTTGGGGTCCGTACTTGGGCGATGACGTCCTCTTACGGACTTGGGGATGACGTCGCCGGACCTCCCCAAGGTTCCATACATTTCCTCGACTTTCATTCTGAATGGAGTCGTAAAGCGTCTGGACGGCTGCCTGACCCCAAAAGGCTCCGTCGTGCTGACGTCGCGGTCCCAACAATAGTAAGCCAGCGTTTCGTGTCTCTCGGGGACCTCGGAAAGAGGAAGTTGATGGATGGACGGACGGACTTGGATAGGACCGACCGACCGATTGGAAGACAGAGTCCGCGACTGGGAGAGGCCGGACCCGTCCCCCCGCGCTGGACTGGTCGATGACTCACGCTCTGGGTGTGGGCGCTCCCCGCGACGCTCCTTCCTCCCCGCTTCCGTGGCTCGGACGTTCGTTCGCAAATTTCGGCCGACAACTGTTTCGGCCCGCCTATCTGATACCTGTACTTATGGTCCGTCGTCCGGGCCTTCTATAATTACACGAGTCGATGCTCCCTTCAAGTCAATCTCGAATTGGTTCTGTTTGCGTCCGGATCCATTGAAGAGCCGAGTTTGTGAGTGTGGGCGGAAAGAAGGACTTCCTTGAAACTTGAAACGCACTCTGACCCCTGGAAAGCCGAATCCTCTGGCGATCTTCATGTCGAACTGTGTGCCGAACAACATTGTTGGCTTTTCGATTTGGGCTCAGTCCAATTCGTTTCCGTCGGATGAATCAGTCCAGTAGCTATTTCCGGAGCCCCTTGATTAGAAGAGAGTGATAAAACCCCGAGAAGCTCCTCGGTGCAGGCAGTGCTGAATCTGCTCGAGCGGTCCGGAAGAAGATCTGGGCTTGGCATTTGTGCAGCATTCCGTTCGGGTGCTCGCCTCTGCGCACCAGCAGGCGTTGAGGTAGTGGTGGTCGATAGTTGGTGACAGGAAGGAAGTGGAAGAAACGAAGGGAAAGGAAAGGAAAGGAAAGGACTGAAGCGGAGGAGGGCGGGACTGCGTGGGCGGTGGTGCCCATCGAAGTGCTTTCTCCCTGTAGGCAAAGGAAGAAATTTGGCCTTGTGACGATCGGTCTTTGCTCTGTATGTCTCTCCCCACTTGTGAAGAAAGAGGTTTCACGTCTTCGATCTCAGGATCCGAGGGCGCTGTATACCAAATTTGTACGAGCATTTCTGGCTGTGGCTTGAGAAATGGGGCGATCTCGATTACTGGAGACAGGTTTCGGCAGCAAGGGCAAAGCCGAGGAAGGCCGAGCGAGAGAGAAGGCGATTAAGTATTCCGTAGAATCCACCGATACAATTAGTCTGGATGGTTGTCTGAATGTCGAGGAGAGCATCAAGCTCCACGAAGCGTTGGCCCAGTTGACGAGCCCGTCGTTTTCCACCACCTCAAGTTTCGGGTCCTCGCGCTACGGCTCTTCCGAAAATCTTCACAGCATGGCGTCGCCCAAGGGCTCGTCCAACAACCTTCTGCAGGGAGCTTCTTCCCCGACGGGAGGATCCTCCAGAAAGATGGCCAAATCTGCGTCCCAAACGCAGCTCGGCAAGTCCAACTCTCAAGCGCGTCCCGAAGTGGACATCGTCACCGCGAAGAATTCCCTCGCACAACTTTTGAGAAATCCTCAGGTGACGAATCGACCCTTCTTGGTTCTCAAAATCTCCGCTGTGTCAAAGTTTTGGGATGTTCTTGATTCTGTCTGCGGCCTGTGGTCTGACTCGCTCACTTCTATTTCTCTTCAGGGAAAAGCCGTGGACGCAAGCAAGAGGCTGGTGATGGTAACGGTCCTCGGCAGCGTCGGCCCGTTACGCGCCTTGGTGGATGCTGATGCGAGCGTCCAGGCCGTCATTGGAGCTGCGCTTCAAATCTACGCGCGGGAGGGGCGCCTGCCGGCGATGGGGCTCGATAGCTCGTGGTTCGATCTCTACTCGGGCCACGTCTCCTTTAGCGACGCGCTGGAGCCATTCCAGCCCATCAAGCCACTGAATGCGCGCAACTTCGTGATGGTGAAGCGACAGTTCCAGCGCGAGGACGTCGTGCGCCAGCGACAGCAGCAGAAGAAGGTGACGAAGCCGACGTCTTGGCTCGAGGATGTTTGGGGATTTGGGACGTGGTGGGCGAAGGTCGTCATGGCTGCCTCTCCTGCATTTCTGCAGGGCACCGAGAATAAATCCGCTAAGGCCTGGCTGCACGAGCTGGAGGCGCAGCCCTCCGCCATTCCGAGCTTCTGACTTGTGACGGTTTTTTTCACGGGCCGCGAGGAACACGCAATGCACTCGATGGTTTGCGACGGTCCGGAAGCGGATGGCCTCGCTATCTGCTGAGAGAGTTTTGCAGAATCGTTCGACGAAGGAGTTGAGAGTATGAGTCAGTTTGTTCCATGCAGGTCGGCATTCGAGTTGCCGTGCTCGAAATCACAGTGCGAATGTCGATTGGAAACGCGCTTTCCGATAGCATGCTTGTTCAAATTACGAGTTCACCCCTGTACATTACGGTGTCTTGGATTCTCGATATCCTGCACAGGTTCGTTCTGAAGCTGAAGTGGGGGCGGGCGTATGAGCAGGACATAATGACGAATCACGCGGAGATCTATCGCTCTCGAACGCCCCCCGCACCACGAGGATACTACTGAGGAAGTGTCTGTTGCTCGAGTCCCGAGCGTCCTGTCAGTCTTGTGACATTTGTACAGCAGGGACGGGATTATGGTTAGTCATGAAACATGAATGAGTGAGTGCTAGTCTGCCACTCTCAGTCAGTGTCCAGCATTTTGTGTCGTGGACTGATTCGCCTCGAACGCACTGTGGAGAGGCATGTATGTAGCGTACGCGGGTGTTGGAAGGATGGAAGAAGTCAGGAAAATGACGACGAATAGGCAGTAGACCGCGAGCTTAGCCATGTTCAGTATTCTCCACCGCCCCTTGTCCATTTCTGCCGGTGGAGAGTATACCCCACATACCTGTTGAGTCGTCTGCACCAGTTCTCTCTTCTTACACCGGTTTTGATACATCCTTCCATGCTGTGAGAAGTTTATGAACTAACTGATTATTTTAATAAAAGCTCTCCGGTCAATTTCTTCCCTCTACTTTTCACTCGCCGATGTCGTTCCAGCACCTGTACTGTGCCCTGTTAACGGAAGTGCACACATCCATTCGGGCAGGCCATGGGTTCTATTACGTCTTGTCATGTGGATTGCATGGAATCTTCACTGCAATAGCTGTGTTCGAACTCGTGAGGAAACTTTCGTCTAGGTCGAGTATCCACGGTAGTCGCCGTCGGAGCATATACAACGTAAGAAATCCGATCTTCATCGAGCTCTTCAATTTTGAAGGGACTATGGGGATTTACTCAGTTACCTGCCGTTATACTTGCGAGACTGGTGAGGGAGTGTGGGAACAGGCCGAACTGAATTTTAACCACGGAGGGTTTCAATGTGATATATCTCCTAGGCTATTGGACTTGGTGGGTCTAATGCATAGGCCTCTACGTATGATACATTCGTCCACTTGAAGTTCAGTTGTGTACAATCATGTGGAAAGATGGAGGGTCAGAATTGAGTTTCTTTACGCTTCTCATTCTCGTACAAATGTCGGTGTAACCTTTGAATTGTATAAACATTTGTCGGCTTTAAATAGCACGCCGTACATATAACAAGCTTGATTGTACCACAACATATGAACAGCCAGTGAACGATTATCGCTGAAACAGCGAGGCTTGTACTTCAGAGACTATGGTTATCTTTGATTTGCGGCCAGCTCGTTGTGAGGCACGGAGCTGATCGGATCATTTTCAACCCTGATCATTTCATCGTGAATAATCGTACGGTGGGAAACTGTTTCTTCGGCGAACATTAGATGCTTGAACAGAAATCACCAACGTTCAGATGTAAAATATGTGGACATCCTGGCTGTGATCTTTAAGCCGAAATCTACGACAAACAAGTTGAAGATGGAGTTCTGTCTCTGTCTATCTACACTCTAGAAGGTTGTTCGGGGTTTGCCAATCTCATGTATAAAGCTGTTTATCATTGAATAATAATATCTCACTTTTGCACGGTCGAAGCAGTAAGTTATGATATTGTTGTCAGCCGACAATCGTGGAACGTTTCTCACATCGCAATCATGCTCCTAAGAGTAGAAGGAGAAGGGTACGTAGAACCATCTCATGCCCAATACTGATGTTACTACGCCTGATTGCAATCGAAGTGGCACGTAGAGAGCTCCCTTAAAGATAAGTTTGTTGACCTTTTCCGTACATACAGTGATATAATCATTATATGTTCACACATTATTATAATGTGAACAGGATGTTTTGAAAGCTATTTTCACGAGAGCGAATGGCAGTTATGGATAGTTTTGAACTGGACAAGTGGCAACTAGTGACTGAATGATGCAGGTATAAGTTGGTCATCGTGCAGAAGACAGAAGAAAGATTATTTATTTGGGAAGTGCAGGGAGAAATGGGAGTTTGTGTAAGGCGCTATCTGCTCCAAGTACATGTAACATAAAACGACAAACGACTTCGCTCGCTACAAACAAACAACGCCACAATACATCTTAGCCAGAAAATGATTCTCTAATGCTCATGATACCTGCCATTTCCATGATACGTGAACTTCCTGTTGGTGTGCAACACTCATACACCCACCACACCGCCTAACAATTAACTACACTGTCTAATGCTTCCATTTCCGTTAAGCCTGTAGGATCACGATGGTTCTTGCTTCCCTTTTCTTTTCTCGATTCTCTTTTCACTCTATCCTCTACCAAGTCTACGTGTTTATATGCCACTTATTTTATAAAGCTGCAAATATTGTCCCTCTGGTGTATGCAGGGGTTGAAGTAGATGGGAAAGAGGAACGAATGAAACGATGTGTGCGTTGGTCTACACGTGGACAATTTGAGTTATTAGCAATGGGTTCAGAATTGTGGGCTCGTGACAGTTTGTTGCTCAGCGAACATTTTGAGGAGAGTTCTCGAACTGTGGAAAGATCCTCTTCTATTCGAGTCTCCAGTGACGTGTGATGCGAGTTTCGCTACAGGACGAGACAGAACGGGATGGTAGCTCTTAAAATGGGCTGACATGATCTGATACTTCCGAGCCACGCTCCTGGAGGGAGATCTTATTGACTGTACTGAAGGTCAATCAAAGCACAAAAGTCTATTGCCGTCAGTGGCAATATATGGCATTGGCGTGCAAAATTTGAAACGACAAGGCTCTGCAAGTCGCTCAAACATTCATACGAGGACGTGTGGCGATCGAGCTATCCTGGCTCGTTGGTGTCGCAGTTGTTTCGGATCACCCAAAGCAGAGAGATCCGAACGCATTTCCCTCGTGGATAACAGACTCGCCATCCCATTGAAGGCAGGGCGGGGAAGGCAGTGCTGGGCTTTCAGAGTACTCTGTGAATGCCCCGAAAATCTCCAGTCCGGAAAACAAGACAATCCCTAAAAAGGAAATCTGAATCAGAATGGCAAAAAGTGGTTGACGCTTCGATGTCTTCCAACCTCACGTTCTCCATTTGAAGTCGACAAAAATGCTCGAAGATATATTTGTCTGGTAGAAGTTGTGCAGGTTTCTATATTTGTGCTTTACAATTTTAGCGGGGATCTTTCTCCTGTGCCCAGTTTTCCGGAACAAAGTTTCGTTGGAGAATATATTTGTCTTTCGGTGGTTTTTAATTCTGTTCCACACGTTGATCGAGAGACTCGTTCTTCCTAAACCCTTCGACCGAAATTGAGATTGAAGGTTTAAGAAAAGTTCAGATTAGCTAAAAGACATGTTATGATCCCATGCATGCTTTAGAGGTTTCTGACCAAGACAAATAAATATCCTTCTATATCATCAGCAATCAGTTGACATCATGTTTCCTAAGATCTCTACAATAAACAAGATATTCTAATGAACAAGAAATTCTATAGCCAGAATGAAGTCTCACGTCTTTTAGACCCAAGTTAGTAATGCTTTTCTAGAGAATTCGTATGGAACTTGCTTCTTATGTCAGATGAAATTTGATAGACGGAAAGTATTCTTTATTATGCAACGTTAGCAAAGTTTTCAAGTAATGTCGAAATATCTTAAGCTTAAGAGTTTCTCAAATCAGATAGAAATTATAGATTTTAATATATCTACCATGCCAATTGAAATTATACACTTTTGACATTCCCCTAATATATTTACCTCATATAGATTATATGATGTATGTTGCTAAATAGTCATGGTTGACTTCATTCTTCAATTTTTGGCTTGTTAATTATTCATGGCTTGAATATTGCAATTATATAGAAGATTATGATTGTTTTCTACTCCCATATTTTGGAGAGTTTCATCACTATACAACATTTCTCAATCTTTGAATAGAATTTTCCAAACATGCGAGAAGAACTGAACTTAGTAGCCGGTGGTGTATCGGATTGAGTTCGAAATTTTAAATGTTATTAAACACTTCAGAGTGCAATACTGTTTTGGGCATACTTCAGTAAATCAACCTACGCGTTCTAAATTTGGTGCAAACCTAAAATGCGAGAATCAATAGCGGGAAATTGTGAAGCATCACAACAAAAGAGCGGAGTCCATTCCTCTGTGTAAACATTTGAATAGTACATCACCCCCTTTATTTCTTGTTTTTTTTTTTTAAAAAAAAAACATCAATAGAATGGGTGTAAAACACGAGAGCACATGTTCACCTCCTTAGCCCCCACACATTAACCTTTATTCATTTCACTTTTCATCATATTATTCGTTTGATCTTTCTGAAAGTATGCAGACTTTAGCAATCGTGGAGAAACAATGCCAAGAGGTTTGATAAGTTCTTGTCTCGATATGCAGAAGTAATCACGGAGAGATTGATAACAAGCATCAATAATGATACTTCTATTTACATGAAGAATATGGGAGAAATTATGGTGCCACAATAAGTTAGGTTCTGTACAAATAGGCTTAGTGGAATCTATGACAATAAATCATGATGTTTGAATTATTCAAGTTAATGAAAAAATATGTAGTTTTATTTAAGCCTGAGTAGACACTCTCGTCAGTCCTGGAAATTACACATAGACTGACGCTTATATAATTTCATTCAATATTTTCAAAAGGTTTTATATTATTATCCAATTATGGGCAAGCTGATTTTATAATTAAACCAAACGAATGAAAGTGATGCAATATTTTGTGGAACCGGAAGAAGGAGGCGATAGGATGAATATGATATTTCTAAAAAGTTCAGTGGGGCCAAAGGCTAAGATGATATCACGGAACTCTTCTCAACGCAATGCCTCGTTCTGAAGTTGCTGGTTGTTGGGAAAGCACTGGTGTTTGCTCACAGATGGCAAGGAACCACCGGTACAGTCGTCAAATGATTCCTAATTTAGTTACTTAGACTGCAATTAAGAAAGTAAGAACGGATCATTAAGTAGCACACTTTAAAGTTGGCACAATTGAAAATGTAGCTAAGACTGTATTAGTGGTGGAACACAAGTCAACGTTTACGCTACTGGGTTTCATTATTTTGCTATGCTGGGAGGGATGAAAATATATACATCAGAGTTGCTTGCAGATAAAACTATAACTAACTTGAATATTGAAATCTTGAAAAAATGTTCAGATTTATTTACTGTATAGTTTAATCTAGTGTTTTGCCACGAGTAAACCTTATTTGCAAACAATATTATTTCCATAAATGAAAGTAACATTATGGAATGAGATTTTATGAAGAGATTCTTTGCAAGGTAGATTGAAAAGTATAAAATTTCATTTGTTAATTTTGAAACTTGATTTTTATTCCAAACAACAAGCATAAAGTAGTACTGAATGAGACATTATTTGAAACAGTTGAAACTGATTTGAAATGAAGTTTGAAAGTTTCATATAATTTAAAAATAGTCTAAAATTGAAGACTATTATTGTTTTGCAAGTTCAGTCATGAAATTTGCTTTCAATTTATTGCAAAAATAAATTAAGAAATATTGAATTAATCTTGTATATTTATTCATATTATTTGTACATATGAGCATCATAACAAAAATAAAGTTGAAAATTGAAAATAATTATATTATTTAATAAATAAATAATTTCATATTTTTGATACAAAAAATATAAAAATGTCTAAATTAACATCTTTTTCAGGTCTTTAAACTAGTATATCTTTTACAAAATTGTTCATGTGACTTGTTCAGATATTTTAAATTTTCACTACAATATACAGCATTGTTTGATCTATGATCAATTTTGATATTCATATAATTATCATACCATCTTTAAGGATAAAGTTCTGAAGTTCCATAAAATAGTTACAAGAAAATAATATATATAGTGATTACTGTATCAGCTTTATACATGACGTGATACATGGTATATTACATATAATGAAATATAAAATTTCAATCAATCTTTTTCACTTCTATCAAAGAGATTAAATGATTGAATTTATTGCACCAGTATTTAGTTAATGTAGAATGAATTTTAGGTGATAATTACTTCACTAATTTCATAGAATAAGATAAATTTGTTTTCAAATACACCTTATTTCAATAGAACAATGTTAAACATCACACTATATTCTTCTCAGCTTATATATGTTGCGTTGATGTTTTTGTGAAAATATCTAAAAAATAAACAAATCCTTTAATTTGAAACGTAAGAATTTGTAAAGTTTGAAAATTATTTTAGTTTTTATCTAAGATTTAAGATTTTTTAAGATAATTTTAATTTACACGATAATATTGCATAAAAAAATATTTCTCAATACTGAAAAGATCAAAGAATACTTTATCATTCTGTCGATAAAATCACAAATGTCTAATTTACATCTGATTTCAGCAAAAAAAAAAATGTCTTATGCACATAATTTTAAATAAAAACGCTCATAATAAAGAAAATGATGTAGATTTATTTTTATGAATTAATTTATTTTTCAAAGAATTAAATTAATTTAAATGTTAATTTAACTGTATGAAATTAAGTACTTTAAGTTATATATAATTATTTTTATATACATAATCATAATATAATATTTGAAAAACATATTTTTTATAATATCTATCTTTGAAGAAAAAAAATAAGGATCATAAATATCACAGTTTTTTTTGGATGTATTAAATATGATGATAACAAATCAGAAATGAATTTTAATTCAAAGAAGGTATAGAATATATTTTGTGATCTTTACAGAATTCTCTGAATTTCTAAATATAATTCACATGTTTTAGCTATAAATAACATGAGTAGTGGGATAAAATTTTGGAATATACTATATTACTATTTTGAAATATGAATTCCTTTTTTACATATATTCGATGTTGACATTCAAATATTCTTTTAAATTTTTATTTCAGATGCTAAAACGTGTAACTAAAAAATAAAATTACATTTCTAATTAAATTTTTTATATATCTAGTTTAATTTATCCACAATCAGTTAAATTTGAGCATTATGCAATTCTTTCAATGATGGACTAGATTCAAATAGTTAATTTCGAAAGTTTTAGTATTCAATATCACGAAATTGATGAAACTTTTGCTAGTTAATACAAATAAAATATTAACATGGTTTGTTTGTGTTAGATCAAAATTAAAAAACTTGAGTACATCATGATGCAACAAATTTAATCTAATGTTGTACTTCATTCTTAAAATTTATCATATTATACTTGAATATATTTTTAGATTATCAATATATATAGAATGACGATGATATCAATGTGCAAATAAATTTGTAAGTTACGATGTTTTGAAAATAAGATAAAATCCATAAACTTTAGATTACATGTAAATAACATTATAAAAAAACAGAAATATTCTCGACATATATGATGGCCAGTTGATTTGTTGTTTCATGTTTATCATTAAGAATCTTAGTATTTTCGATCTTGAATTGATTATGTCTTCTATGTTTGTAACAATAATATTTAATTATTCATACAATACAATTATCTTTCAATTTTTCATTTATAATGTGTACATTATGGATTCGTTTCGCATCGCTAATCTGAGTTTGACTTCGTATTTTTAAAGATTCTGAACATTTAAAGACTAGTATCTGTAGCAAGAACTCGGTAAATGTTTTGCAATGATACGATAAACGCATACACTCACTCCGTATTATCCTTGGGAATGACATCATACTCCGTAGCATAGGCAGATCCTTGATATTTGATCATGCTCTCGACTTACAGATTATATGGTTTAATCTTTCTATGAAGGATAACTTTCTCTTTGTCAACATTGCTCTCAACACAAAAGCTAAATATTTCAATTTCCGATGAATTTTTCTTTTCTTTTTTGTTTATCAATCTTGACAATGTTACAAAGGATGAGCACACAAGTACAAACTGGATGCAAATAAATTGTAATAGTTCTATCCAGCTTGATCACCCCCGCCTATCCACCTTCGATGTTCGTGGACGTACCTAGGTCACATGATGCTCCCTGAGATGGTACAGTGTGAAGTGTTGACCATGAGATTGACGATTACATTCCAGTCACAAAAAGCCTCGCCCAGTTCTAATAACTATGAGTATCACTTCTCACTATGTCCACGATGTAATCCATCCGCAAGTCCTACCGAGCTTTGTGTCACCCGACAGCATGATTTCATAGAGTCCATTGGTTACTTCTCCGTTCTAATGGGATGCTTAACGAAGAATCGTGATTTGGCATACTTACCTGCTCAGGACAACTGTTGTACTTAGAGCCATGCCAATCCATGCCAATATCTGAATACATTCAATACAAAAGTCCTCAAGCGTGGAACAAGTCTGAAGATCTCTCAAACGTATGATACTCACAAATCAGACATACATGACTCAATCAGCTTCATTCATAGACCCAGAACGCGGAAGTGAGTTTCGCATCCTAAAGCCTTCCGAGTGAATAGCCCTCTTCACAGACTCACACGAACTGACGGTTACAGATCATGATGTTCACTCGATAAATGCATTCATTAAATTCTCGCAAAAAATGGTCGTGGTTTCTACACATTGAAAAGACCAAAAGATGTTCAAAATATATTGCCCTTCACAAGTTCACACAACTCGGATGAGATGTGCTATCAGCTAAACAATATCCAGCCTAGTCTTGCAGCAGAATATAACAACGATCACCAGGTGCCCATGCGAAGGCTTTAAAATTCACAAGCTCTTGATAAGTCCTCCGTACTGTTTCTTCCTGAATCACAGGTCTCACTATAGTTTGTGGTTACATCAAGGAAAAGAGGTCAGCGGCATGAACGCCTCTCTCCAAGCATTGCTTGCTAAGACATCAGCCAGCATTTTGACCGTCAAAACTACAGGCTGTCTAGATACTAGACGTTCACCTTTAGAAACGTCGATTACCAAGAGTGATATCTAGCTGTGTTAGGACCATAGAAATATGCCAAGAAACTGACGTTATGTAGGCAACAAAATGTATTGATAAATTAAATGTGATATGAACTACACGAGTATATGCGGCGAGAGTTGAACTGTATGATAGTCAAGAATCAATCCATTAGTGGCATGGTGCTCACATACATTCCTCAATGACATACCTCGCTTGACATCCTGGCCACAGGGGTCTTCACTGTACTTGTGTTGAAGTATCTGAAGCATAATCACAGAGGACTATATAGAATTGATTACAACTCAAAACACTGATGAATACTCGGCAGGATTCGAGTTATGAGATAAAGATGAGGAGTGGAGCGCCCTATCACAGACAATGTAGCGTCATGCTCAAAGATCTCCTGAAGGTGCAATTCCAACGACAAATTCAAACCAACGCAGCACTCCTTCATGCACAGCTAAGAGCTTGAATTGGAAAAATCTACAGAACCATGAATATGACAGTCAGAGGAAGTCACATTTAGAACTCCGGAACTTCAACCCAGGAGATTGACGTTCCTGTTGCTTGCTCACGCGTACAAATCTTCTACCAACGCATCGGTGCGTACATCCCTCCGGTTGAATAAGAAAGTCTCGCTGCCGAATGAAAACCTGGATTCCAGGTCTGATTACAGAGTAAACAATCCAGAGACGGAGCTCATAAAAGCTACTTGGCTATGTATAAAAGCTTTGTTTCAAGGTCCCAGATGAACGATGTTCAACTTGCAAAATTTTCGTGCCCAGTTCCACTGAAGTAGATGAGTTGCTGATCAATGATAAATTTCAAGGAAGGGGGCGCATCATCTGCTCTTAATCTTCTATCGGTGAAGACATGAAATCTAGATATTGACTCCGCGAGTCAGGGTAGAACTTTCGTATATTATAGAACGGAGGAAATTTAGGTGAAAATGTACTACCCTGTGATCGTGGGTACTAAAGACATGTAACCGTGGTCTCAGGCTGCAGCTTTCCTGTATAACTTGATGTCTGCAACAGGACTCATCTTCTGTATACACGGGAGCTTAGAGAAGCTCTTGCTTGTAGCAAGGGCTCAACTCTTTTCATTTACTTGACTTGAAAGCAAAATAGCAGCCTTTCCAGGTTCACCAGCTTTGATGCAAGACCTGAATCAAATGATTTCCATTTGTTCTAATATTCCACCAACACGTATCTACACAAAAAACCACGCTGCTACTCAATGGTTGCTCTCTCGCTTAGCAATTGTTATCTTGCCTCCTGCGACATTGACCAATGCTCGCAGCTGATCCATGGCTGCAGCTTCCTTTTCCTCAAAAGCGGATCGCTTTTCACTGTAGACTGCAGCCTTTTCATATTGTCTCTTCTCCCTCCTAGCCTTTTCTCTGGCCAACCTGCAGGTTGTCAGGTTTATTAACCAAGATTCTTCACAGATGAAAACAATGTCCACAAGTTTTCACATCTCTCATTACAAATCTCCACACGTAACAGGCAGACAGCTAGAACCTTACAATCGAGTCATAATCGACTGCATGTTCATTACAAAAAGGTTGAAAAGATTGTTTTAATAAAAATCTGGACAACCACGAAAGGAATGAGAATTGAATACCTTGATTGAAAATCTTCACCACCTCCCATTACATCTTTTTCTTTCATCAGTTCAGGACTGTCCTCACGGGCACGGGCTTGTTCACGTCTAATTGCCTTCATCTCCATTTGTCTTTCTCGACCTGTGGCCTTTGGTAGAATATCATCCAAAAGGGCTTCATGGTCCTTTTGAAACTTCTTCCTATCCAGCCTATCTTTCTTCTTCGCTACAGCATACTGTTCCTCCTCGTCTGACAGAAAAAGGCGAGAAACTTTACTTATTCCTACCATTCTTTCGCTGCCTCAAATCTGCTATGCAATCATTTGTTTCTTCATAAAATGCCAAATAGAGAAATAGAACCATGAACGCATTTGACTTCGATGCATGCATGAAATTTAGGAAGTACGTATGCAAGCAAACAATGGTAAGAGATATTTCAAGTAGATTTCTTACCTAAGTTAACTGAATCCTCCGGACCTCTCTTTATTGCCCAGTTGTGGTTCGTACGTGGAGCTTGTTTGATGCCCTCGTAATACTTGTGGCTCAACTTGCCCGCATTCCAGACATCCACAAATTTGAGAAAACGCTTATGTGTCTCCTCTGATGAAAGATCGGAGAAAAAGATTCGCTGTTCCTCCCTCAACCATGTTGCAAACTCATTGCTTTTCACAAAGTAGTGGTCCTCTGAAATTTTGTCCTCGTCTGGTACCTTCACTACCTGGTGCCAGTAGATACCTTGTCAATTTGAATCAACTGAACCTTTCACAGTGATTATTTCAAGCCCTGTCGTCAATTATTGAAATGTTCAAGTAAACTGGGAAGAGATGGAAGATGCACAGAATGCGCCTCATCCAAGTCCCAGCTATAATAAGATGGAATGTTGTCGAGCTTTATGATAAGAATTACGGAAGTACAGAACTTATAGAGCAGCATCTCTTTTTCTCTACAAAAACCAACATGTGCCAAGGTTCTGGGCACCATCCTTCACAAGCTTTCACCTTTCCACTTGAAGATTTTGCCTCCATAGATCCATTGTCTCCATTAGACTTTTGTTCCAACTTGTGTTCTGCACGACAAGCAGCTACTAATTTGAGTAAATCAAATCAATAATCTATCATCATTATAACACCGAAGAGCAGGCATTATCATTATTCGGTCTTAAAAAATTCAGTCATAGAAGGTGATAATGAATCTTGTTTGGCAAGCCCCTTGCAGAGCTTTAGCTTGTCTAGACTACTCACTAATAGACGATCAACGCAACTCTTCTGGAGTTTCCAAGAGCTTTCTAATAGAAGATTACCGACAAAATGCAGAGATATCTTAAGCAGAATTACGAGAATGAAATGAACGAAAGACAGAATTGCGCATGAGAGGAACGAAAGCTCACTCCTTAATAGCTTCTTCGCTTCCTTCAACAATCTACGCTTTTTTTCTGCGTCACTGTCATAGCTGTCGTCACTGTCGTCGCTTCTGTGACGCTTCTTCTTTCTCTTCTTCTTGTCCTTGTGCCTCTCTTCCCTGGACTTCTCTTTGTCGGATTTATCATGAGTCTTCTTCTTCTTTTCCTTCCTTCTCTTTCTATCTCTTCTACGACGCTCCTCATCACTGCTCTCATCTTCGGTGAAGCAACCAAACTGAAGGATGAGTTTGATCAGCCAGTTTACATCGATTCCCTAAATCCTTGACCCTACGCCATGACTATGAATTTCTCAGATGAAATGCAAAGGCTTTCTTGCCTCTTTTGGACTTCCGTGGGGTTTAGACTCCTACTAATAGCAACTTTCAAAACAACTGAAGCTAAAAACAAAACAGTACATTAGATAAAGATATAATTGGAAGAGGTGAACACAACAAGAACCCTGAATAACCGATCATCCAAATTCGGCACAAAAACATAACACAACTCGTCCTGCCCCAACCCTAACCACACCATAAAAGCCCGCTTGCACGTTTAACAGGACAGCTGCTCAGAGACTGAAGGGGACAATACCAACGAGTTTCCGCTGTCAGTCAAACAAAGTCGAGCTTCAAGTTAGCAGAATTGTGTGGACATTCGAGGTACACCACACGAGCAATGTGAAAGTGACCAGACATATAGGAAAATTGCGTCAACATTGCTCGAGGTAAAACCTTCTAAACACAGACTCTGCCCGAACAACTTCATACCGGAGGAAGAAGAACCCGAGTCGGAAGATGACGAATCAGACGGGGATGCCGAGCTGTGCTTTCTTCGCCTCTTTTTACTCCTCCGATGCTCCTTATCGTCACGAATGCGGCTTCTTCCGAGGCGCTCGTCCTGGTCGGAAGAACTCACCTCCGCCATGATCACGAGCCCGGCCTACAGTTCTCTCAGCGTCGCGTTTCCAATCAATCGACCATGGGCGCTCGCTGACTCAGTCCAGCGCATGAGGCCAATGTTCGCAATGCAATTGCTCGATTGCGTTCTCTTCCTTCGTTTCACGCTTCTGCTCTCTCTGCACGCATTGTCCGTGTGACGGACGGAGCCGCGTCCTTCTCTCTGTCATCATCGTTCGAGCTCTGTCGACCCGCGCCTCAGCTCCTGTCACCAACGCCGTCCACTGCGGTGCCCGGCCCTCCATCCGCCTGACGGTGCCGTCCGTGGGTACAGGTCGAGAAAACCGAATCCATTCATTTTCGGGTCTCACAAGAATATTTTCCATCAAAAATCAAGATGAAATAATTGATTCCCGCTAATTCCTTCAGGCTGTACCAGGATAGGATATCATGAATAATTAACAAAACATGGAGTAAGACAGTATCTTTGTCGTCGAGGTCAATAGCGATACCTTAAACGATGGATTACCAAAGCAGGCTGGACAAAACTCGGTGGTGGTAGGAGAATGAGGAATGTGCTCTTGCAAGCAACTTTCTGCAAGTTATGATGAGCTCGGTTAAGACAAACAGCACACTCTGCCCAATGTTTCATGATAATCATCAGAAGTCCACACAAATCTGATAAGTTTTTTCACATCTTATAAGATGCTTCAAACTCAGGAGAACAGCTCTGTGCTTTGCAGAGATTCCCTCTCTCGTATATTTTGTCATGTTCGGGATTAATTTTCTCTGGTGTTTTTCATCTTAGCTTTCACCCAATGCCGCGCCGTGTTCTCTTGAATTATGTACAAATTTACCCCTCTGCCTGGAATAAGGAAATAAAACGCACTCACTGATTAGAGGTCAGCTGGGATGACATAATTACATAATAACTTGTTTTCGTTAGAGAAAAAGAAATGTATTCACGTTCACAGACATAAAAGTGACCTCTCAGAAGTGTATAAATGAGCAGGTGTGAAATGCTATGTGAATGTACTCTCTCGCCAAAAGTTGCAAATTTTCCAGTAAATCAACATAAATTTTCAACACATTATTTGCACTAAACGTACATCCATATATGTTTGTGTAAATGGTTTATGCTGTAGAGTTTATTTGAATTTTGAAAGTGCCATGCAGATGCATATTTTCTCACCTCAAGTATAAAATGTACATCAACACACGTATGTCACATTATCGTTATATTTTCAAAACTTCTATAATTATATTTTTCCCATTTAAACAACCACAGCAGAAAAAGTAATCTTACATTCTACCCTTTTCGAATCTAAACTTAAAAAAATAATTTCACTAGCTATTATCCACCACATTTTGACTTTCAAAGATTCTATCTGAAAAACTGCAGTCGATGGAAGCCTAGTTTCAACTCTACCCATTGACCTTTTAAGTTTTGTAAGGGTGTTGTGAGTCTAAAGAACACTACAAACAAGTTATTTACAAAGTCGAACTCAACTAGTATGTATTCAGCATGCAACCACACCTACAGAAATAAGATGACATTACATAATTCGTAATAATTGTCTTGCACGTACATATACAATGATTATATACCAAGAAGTACGGCAATTGATAAGTGTGTTTCAATCATTCCTGAACATGATTTGACCTCCAAGGTAAAAGAACCAAAGGTGGTGTGCATTCTACATGAGTAAAAGTCAAACTACTCTGTTTGCTTATCTCATTAAATACATCGTTGAGATGAGACTCTCTATCCTGAATATATGACATGTTTGTGAAAAAATATTCCAAATCTTTAAATTTTTTGTTTTATCTAGCGAATCAAAAGTTTGACTTGATCATTATACTAATCAATTAGATGCCAAGTATGAAGTCAGACAAAATTTCACGATTTAGATTTTTTTCATTAAAATTGAATAATACATTGGACTCTACTTACTTTACTTGTATGTGCAATTTTTCAGCAAAGATTGTTGATTCACAAGCGAATTTCTTAGATGTGAAATAATACTTCATGTTTTACAATTCCAAGAATAAACTTTTGATGTCGAATGATATTATATTCTCTTAAAAAAATATTTAAAAAATAAATATCATTCACTTAAAGAATATAAACATGAGAGATAATGTTTCGTAGAATTTAGGTTTTAATATATAAAATATTCGTAAAAAAAGATATTTAAATGAAATTCAAAAATGAATTTAATCATGTGTTTTATAGATAAACTTGTGCGTTAGGTATGTAATGCCTACATATAAAAATATTAAATAAAAAATAGAAATTAGAAAATTAGAAAATTTTTAACATTTTATTAAATTTCATTGCAAGTATATCTTCATATCTTGATAAAATTCAAAATAAGCTATTGATATCAATGAGTTATTTTCTTCTGCTTTTACGAGTATTTGAATTGTAGCTTTAGAATTTTCTCTGTCCAACAAAACTAAATATCATGGTAGAATCCGCGACAATTTTCTACTTTTCTTTCATTTATTAGCTCTCCAAAGGTACCCAAATGCACTAGTCTTGTCAAAAGCTTTTCAACAATACCTAATTTGTTTATATTCCAACCAAGATTTTATCGGAGAAAATATTTTATGTATGAAATATGCACTCAGATGGAATATTCCTAACGGACGTATTATTTATGACGGACGTAATAGTCAAATGAAAGATTTCCGAAATCAGCTTGAAATTGCCTAGATCTGCATATGATTGCTCGAACTTGATCGCGTTGCCCGACATATCTGAGATTGTCCAAACTGTCTGCCTACGCGTCTGCATGTATGAATTAACCTTGTAACGTGTCTTCCTACATGACAGCTCTTCGCGTGTCCTACGCGCTACGTAACTTGTCTTGTGAAACCGGATGTTGCACATGTGTACTAAGTCATAGAAGCAGCCAGGACAGTAATGATAATTAGCCAATACATACCTAAGTTTAGCTAGTTATGACTAAACTAGCTAGGTATAACTAAGTTTATATAATCATGACTAAGTTTAGCTATAATGTTTATATTTGGCGGAATAATTATCGAAGTTCTAAAAGATTTGGGTGATCATTTCTATTTTTTCTTCTACAAAGGTTTAGATTTCAAGTTATTAAACTTTTGATTATAAGTTTGGATTTGATTGGTTTGACTAAATGTATAAAAGATGATTGGCTAGACGAACTCTAATGTTGACTTAGTGGCTAAGAAGCTTCTAGAAATTATAAAGCTTCCAATGACATGTCACCACTTCAATCTCAGATTTTAGAAACTTCTAGAAGTTGACATTGCCACATATAGAGGGTTAGTCAAACCTACCTAGAGAAAAATGAGTTAAGAGAAATTACCACAAGTTACTATGATAATTTCTCAATGAGTATAAATAGAGAGGTAGAGTGGCGCATCTCAAGCAAGTTTGGAGTGTTCATGTGTGAGTACTTGTTTCATGAATGAAGGAATAAGGTTTTTCAGTATCTTGAAATATAGACGTGTGTTTGAGTTTGTTTGAATTGAGTGATGTATCGAGAGTTTGTGTGAGAGGACGTTTGGGACACGAGTATGAGTAAGAAATCTAGTCGTCTAGAACCATGATGAGCTACCACAAAACCATCTGAGGTAAACATGAGTGAGAGTTAGCCCGAAGATTGCAGTCCACGCCTAAGGAGCTGCTTGCGTGTTGTGTGTGTATCTACGTGGCCAGCTTGCATGTTCCGTCCGTGCTGCTTGCATCTACGAGCTAACTTGCATGTGTCACTCACATCTACGTGTTGTTCCGCGCGTGCTACCTTGACACGTGTTGGCTTGCGATTTGTGCTCACGACACTCCGCGTCCTATGTGCATCACGTGTTACCCCACATGTCATCCAATCGTGCATCTTAGAGATTGATGTGGCGCAAACGCATGTTGTGACACTACGAAATGATTGACGAATCAATCACGTGACGTGACGTGTCTCATGTGGGAGGTTGATGTGACATTTGGTGTTTGATGTGTTGTCTACATGGAATGACACATATTACTGCGGGGTCAAAAGCCTACCTCTTTGCACGGTGCACTCCTCGTGCACGATAACATGTTTAACATGTGAAGAAGTGAGTTTACAAACTCAATCTTGGATTGAATACCTAGTCTATGCGATAAGCTAGCTAACTAGAGATTAACCCGAAACACATGAATCATATATTGTAATTGTAACAACCTTTTGAACAGATACAAGAAATGTGCATATGATGCATGCTTGAATTGCATTGAAGATTCAGTGTTTCTTCCTTGCACATCCTGAATTCTCCAAATTGCATCACCGAATTGCTACTCTAGCATTTACAAACCTGAGAGAGTATTTAAAATTTGAACAACCACACATATTTCATCCAAAACAAACGCATCTTCAATCTCAACTCATTTAATCTGCACACTAGAACATGATTAACATGTGAAGAAGTGAGTTTAAAAACTCAAACTTGGATTAAATACCCCAAACCAGGCGGTGAACTAGCTAAACATCGCTAACTAAAGGTTAATCGGAACACATGAATCAGACACTGTAATTGATGACAACCTTTTGAGCGGATACAAGATATATGCGTATGATGCATGCTTGAACTGCACTGAAGGTTCACTATTTTGTCCGTGCATCTCCTATATTCTTCAAATTGCATCATAGAATTGTTACTCTAGCATTTACAAACCTGCGTGAGGATTTTTAATTTGAACAACCACACATGCTTCATCCAAAAAATGCATTCTCTATCTCAATGCACTTGGTGTGCGTTGGAGAACATGATTAACATGTGGAAAAGTGAGTTTACAAACTCATCTTTGGATAAAATAATCCAGTCCAGGCAGCGAGCTAGCTTAACTTTGTTAACTAGAGATTAATCTAAACACATGAATCAGACTTGTAATTGATGACAACATTTTGAGCATTTATAAGATGTGTGCATATGATGCGTGCTTGAACTGCTATGAAAGTTTAATGTTTTGTCCGTGCATCTCTTGGTTTCTCCAGAACGCATCACCGAATTGTTACTCTAGCATTTACAAGCATGTGACAGAATTTATAATTTGAACAACCACTCATGCTTCATCCAAAAAACACATTTTTCATCCCAATTCACATAATTTGCGCATATAACATGATTAATATGTGAAGAAGTGAGTTTACAAACTTGACCTTGGATTAAATACCCAAGTCCACACGGTGAACTAGCTAAACTTTGCTAACTAGATATTAATCCAAAACACATGAATCAGACATTGTATTTGATGATAACATTTTAAGCGGGTGCAAGATATGTGAGTATGATGCATGCTTTAACTACTACAAAGATTCAAGGTGTTGCACCTGCACTTCGTGGATTCTTCCAAACGCATCATTGAATAGCTACCCTAGCATTTACAAGCCTGCAAGAGGATTTATGATTTGAACAACCACACATGCTTCATCAAAAAACACATTTTCTATCTCAACTCACTTAATCTGCTCCAATTGCGCTAAATGTAGCTAGCTAGGGGTTATCCGAAACACATGAATTAACCTCAACATATAATATAGATAAATGTAATATATATTTCAAATAGTGGTCATAAAGTCAATGAGATTATGAAAATATATTAACATATTTTATTATTAACTATGTTCATCAGATATCATGACCACGTACTAAATTTTTAGCCTTATTGAATGTAAAATAACATTAATCTGCTTTGATCAACCATGACTAACTAAAGTAGTTGGAAACCAAAATATCTCTCTTTTTATATATTAATATTAATATTATTTCATAAAAAATGTTGAGATAAAACATGACTTTTGTTGCAAATTCTTCCCTAAGTGTCTTAATTTGGGCTAGTTATGATGTGTATACTTTCATCAACAATAAAAATCACAACAATCGTGGCCAAAAATTGTAGATGTGAATCAAATTAATGTCAACAAGTTGACAATAAACTCAACTCCAGATTATCATGGAGATTACAAGAATGTCAAACTTGCCAAATTCATTCCCATCCTTGAATTTTTGATGTCGAATCTTATAATATGCTTATTTAAAATAAAAATAAAAATATGAAAAATAATGTCTTATAATTCAAGTTTTAATATATAAAATAATCATAAAAAATGATATTGAAATAACATCCAACAATGAATTTAATTATAGATTTCATAGATAAACTTGTATATCATGTATGTAATGCCTAAATATATAAATATTAAATAAACAAATCAAAATTTGATATTTATATAAATTTTCAAATTTTATAAATTTCACTAGAAGTAAGTTTTCATATCTTGATAAAATACAAAATGAGCTATCGATATCAATGAGCTGTCTTTTTTTATTTAACCAGTATTTGAATTTTAGCTTTTAAATTTATGTTTCAACAATTGAAATATCAAGAAAATTTTTCCTAGTATGAATAATTATAATATAATTCCTAGTATAGATTTTTTCACATGATTAATACTAAATATGTTTGAAATATAAATATAAATATATATGATTTCATATTAATATAAGTACTTTACAAATATTTGACATGAAGTTAGTTTTTATGGAAAATGTAATAATAAATAGGAATATTAATTGGATACTTCAATAAAAATCGATATTGATATCTTTAGATCAAGATTAACACAAAATTTATATTCTTGACAAGTAGATTTATAGAAACTTACAAAAATATATTGGAGGTCTAACATTATGAAATTGACATGAATATGAAACAGAAATAAAAAAAAGGTTCAAAATATTATGTCTTTATTTATAAAAATTAAACATCTATATATGTGGAAATCTGGTTTTAAATACATTTATTTAAATGATTGCAATATAAAAAAACACTTTATATCACCCCAAAATTAACATGAAAAGAGTTCAAAAAAATAGAAACCTGTCATGCATTTTAAGAGATATAATTTGTGGTACTTTTCTGCAATGAAAAGTCGTAAGATATTCAATTGAGTAAGATTTGTATCATTTAGATTCAAATTTTTTAGGAAATTAGAAGATAAAAAAAAGGTAATATGATTAGTAACTTATTTTGAATTTGATTTGATTGTGTATATTTTAATTTTACCTAATGACATCTTCTGTGGAAAGTTGAGGAATATTTTCTAATTTTGTGTAATCATAATTTCCAAACTCATTTCAAGATAGTGAAGAATATCATCATATGGTCAAGACATGTAATTTCACGGATATAGTGTACACCGTCAGTGTAATCAAGTTCAAAAATTTACAAAAAATCATTTTCACTCATCAACTAGATGGAAAGTCATTGTTCTGTACGGAAAACTTTATCATACAATTTTTTATGATGAAGGCAGTGTCCGAAGAAGCTCATTGATACCTGTTGTCTGCATATCAATTGTAATCATTCATTTCTACCTGGGCAAGGGTTGTTGTGGAAATTGTAGAGAAACTTCTAAACTTTGGGATCGTTGTGTACGTGTGAAATCACAACCAGCACACTGATCTCTGGAACTGACCAGATAAGTTCCATGCTTCGGTATCACCAACCGGAGATGATACCAAACAATACAACTGAACTTCAGCATTGTCACACATGCTGCCATTAGGCACCATGTGATTTTGATGACAACATCTACCGGGAAATTCAACTGTAGGTGCCGTTAGCTGCAACAACAAAGTTTTGCTTTCATCTTGGCCAAAAGAATCAACAGCAGACTAGAATGACTTCGAAGCAAAATATGGAGATCTTATAACTAATAAGACGGTTTTGTTTCCGTAAAAAAGTGAGCTAATTTGAGAAGTATATTCTATGACCTCGGAAATACAGATAGTCTGTAGTGCTGCAGTGCAGATATGCGTGGCGAACAATGTTGAAGTAATTGCAAGTACTTGGCCTCCATTACTCTCTCCAGATTCTCATTTCAAATAGTAGATTTACTAGTTTCTGGATTCGATGATTACATCGACAGTGGCTGATTTCACAACATTTGAAACATCGATCATGACAGCAACGTGGCGTTTCAAAAGGATCAGATCTTGTGCTTGCAGAAAACATAAAGTGATTGGCAAATCAAGATTGTTAAGTACAGGAATTGCTATCAGAGAGAAATCTACGCCTCAATCAGTGAATGATTGAAATGAGATTTAGTCCTCGGGGTTCATAGGATCTTTGCAGCTTATGTATGTCTGCCAGTTGATATAGTGGATCACCGAATTCAAGTAGCCTGTGGGCACTTTGCCTTGATTGCTTTTCCGGTTTCTAGGATGTATGTCCTTCGTGGCTTGTGTTGTCGAGGATCAAACTTGAAGTATAAAGTACTATCAAGCTTCAACATTTCAGACCCCCAGAAATATCTCAAATTAGAAGGATCTGGTCTCGCTAAAGGTGGACAGACTCCGTAATCTTCATAACATAGCAGCACCTTCAATCATGCACAGAGACATGTACATACAGTGTAACAGCAGAAGAAGCAGGGAAGAACCATGAAGGTGAAAGAGTTTGAGATATTCCAGCAGAGAAGGCCTTCAACTCATAGATAATTAATAAGATTAAGTGGCACACTCCGCTGTGTGTAAATGTCATGTTGTCCGAGAATTCTTGACTACGGCATTACTGGTTGGATCAGATGGCTGATTAGACCCACCATGTACTCCTCGTGACAAGAATAGCTTACGAAACAGTATCTTTATAGGTATTTTTATGACATTTGTAGAATAATTTTCGTAAGGCTAGACACGAATCTTGAGTTTCATCCATATTGAAACGCATATCAAGGATATTCTAGATCTCTCATGTAGCTAGCCAATCATGTTTCCTTCGCGTTCGAATCGAAGTCAATACAATTTAATTCACGCCATTTAAAGCATCTGGAGAGAACGAAAGGAAAGACTTCCAGGGAGCCAAATCCTGAATGTGACAGAAGTGGAGCTCCCTTCCGACATGAGACTACTGGCTATGAGGCTGCCATCCTCGAATCGAAAATCTTGTTGAACCTTTGGATGAAAGATCAAACTTTCGTCCAACTCTGGACCACTAAGTGCCATGTAAATATATATATGAACAAGGAGGCAAGCAGTTTCAGGGGGAATCTGATCCTCCTGGTCAAGCTCAGGATATATGTATAAGAAGTCCGTGCAAACGTTGAAGCTTATCATCTAGCATCGGAATCTGTCTCTTATGACAAACTATTAAGAATCTCCCTCGGCCCCATCCCACGCGTCTTTAGGTGGAATCGACAAGGAGTCTAAGAATATTCATGACACTCCCTGCAGGTCACTTCTGGCTTGAGAATAAGACGATTTGCACTTTGATGGCTTCATCCTTGGATGCTGAGAATATGTTTACAAGAGTAGTTGAAATTAGGCAAAAATTATTCTCGGATATCACCTCATGTTGTCGAATTTGACACTTTTCAGATTATAACAGTGGGTCAATGAAAGAGAAGAGTGGTAAGAAGGGGCCGGCCACTTCAATGTTCCAGTACAGTTCGAAGCATAAAGCCTGGACACTCGTCTTCACTATTCTCATATTAAACTAATAATCATGTATAGCATTGTGTCATGGAAGTAAGAAGAAATGCAGCGGGCCTGTGCCTGCTTAAAAAGGTGCTCTACTATAATGAAGTAACAGAAGACTAAGCAGGAAAGAAATTGCTTTCCTACTTGAAGGATTTTAATCATTTATGGTGAAGTGTATCGTACGTAAACACAACATTCTGTTCGGTAAATTTTGTCTATTCAGATTCAATTTTCTGAGTCTAAGTTGACAACATTCCAGATCACATCATATGTGCCGTGCGTCCGTGCGGGATTTTCACTTTTTGTCGAGGAAATATTTTCCATGTACGTCAGTGCGAGCTTTCAACTTTCCTAGTGGAACTTTTTTTCCCACACCATCGATGAGACTAAAAATTTATCCGGATGACCAAGTCGCTTTTCTATATTCATGCTTGCGATGAATCACAGAGCACTTTCCATCACATTTTTCTGCCCTAGGTGATCGTGGCCACAAATCATACATGTGACTGGGCAGAGAAGTGCTGACAGCTCTTTTCAGACAACGTTGCGCAATACTTGTGATATGGAGGGCCATGTTCAGAGTTGCAGGGCACAACTCTGAACATGGTTCTCGTCTGTCATTTATGTCACAGTGCAACCTGTAAAGTAAACATGAGAGTTGAACAAAGTGGCTTACAGTTGGTTTCGGTTCTGGCAGTGTTTCACCCGCTTAACCTGGGCAATGACTTTAACATCTGTTTTTATATGATCCAAAACCGATGATTAAACCCAACCTCCGAGCTCACTGACGCCACTTCGTTCTGTTACCAGCCTTTGTTTTCGGCGCTCTTGCGATTGGCTTGATCGTGTACGACATGTCCACTCATGTCTGGCACAGCACTTCGTACCAGCTACGCCAGATTCCAATTGTCTACCGTCATCTGGAAGTACACAATACTGACAACTTGGGGACGGTGATATACGGCTATTCGGTCTCCACAAACACACATTACCTTGAGTAGATCGACTTTTTCTTTTCTGCATGTCTAATTTGATTTAAGATAACACTGACGTAAAGCCGCTTCCACGGACTTTGACATTCCGTATTCACTTGGTTCTCTTAGAGATTGCCCGTCCCAAGCACGTATGGATGATGTCACCGTTCTTGGGACCACTTTGGTGCCGTCGTCGCTACTTTGAAGAGAACAAACAATAACCTTGAGGTTAAATCCTTGGCAGAATTTATGCCTAGGGGTCATCGAACGTACCGAAAGTCTTTGACAATGGGAGCCAGGGAAGTGATGCTTGTAGATCTACGATTCCGTCTTGGACAGTTCACGAACTTCTATATACATGGCGATGGTTGTTGAACTTGAGCTGACCTCTCTGATTTCAATGTCCAGAACGTTCTGGAAATACTCTGCAGAGTTCAGAGCTACTGCTACTTTTCTACCGATGATGCGAGGCCTCGATTCGGGTGGAAGTTCCCGCCAGAGGTTCTGTCTTGGTCAAGACTTCCATCATCTGCAGTGGTGACGACAGTAGACTTTGCCCATAAAACTCAATCAGGTCGTGGAGGCCATACCCTAATGGTCCCGGGGTCACCTCGACGAAAGAAGATGGTACGATCAGACCCGAACGAGACATGAAATCGTACCTTTTCTCCAGTCATGGTCGTACAGCCTAGCTGGTGAATGTCAACTTTGACGCAAAAGCCGAAAGCTGCATGTCTTGCAGTTTGAAATCATTGGACAAAATTATCACTTTCTCTATTTCTAATTTCAGGCTTAGAAGCAGGTCTTGCGCGAGGGCGCCTCACATCAATCGCTTTGTTCTTGATCTAATATACACTGTACATTTTTTTGACTGTGCAAATTGTGCATCAGTTCCTTTTGGGTCTAGGACTTGACAATCTTTCGATTTGCATCAGCATGTCTCTAACATCTTTCATGCTCGGCCGTTTGGCCGGTGAATTTTCGCTGCACAGCAAGCCTACTCTTACCATGAGCTGGATCTGATCTTCATGAACCGCCAACTCGTTCTGGATCCTGCTGTCCAAAACCGTGAGCATCCTGTCCGGATTCTCAGCTGCATCGGCAACCCACTCCCTCAAAGAAACATCTTGCTCGAAACGATGGGTCGGTCTTTTCCTCGTGAGAAGCTCGAGAAGGAGGATGCCGTAATTGAACACGTCGCCTTTCGTTGAAACTTTCGGCGAAATTCCATACTCTGTTTAAATGCATCATGAATGATGAGTCAATGCCAGAACCTTTTAATCATACAAACGTAGAAGTCTGAACCTACACTCATTTGCAGAGGAAGGAAAAGTAAGCGATAAAGAGGAAAAAGGGACGGAGGATCCTATGAAAACGTACTCGGATCGAATGAGTAAAACCGAATGATTAAGATGGGGCTAGGCCCCAATAAATTGGGATTATTTCTACTGCAACTAAGATATCCGAACTATTTGAAGAGGAAAGAATTGATAGAAGTAATACCTGGAGGGATGTAGCCCGTGGTTCCGAAAAGGGCACTGGTTGTACCGTCAGCACTGCTGTTTCCGATCGAAACGAGCTTCGAAATTCCCAAATCTGCCACTTTGGCAACAAAATTCTCGTCCAGAAGAATGTTACTGGGCTTGATGTCGAGGTGGATGATCGGACGAACGCATTCATGGTGAATATGAACCAAAGCTTCTGCGATCCCTATAGCAATTTCGAGGCGCATCTTCCAAGTGAGCTGACAGGTCTCAGAGCCGTGCAATTGGTAGTGAAGACTCCCGTTCGGCGCATATTCCAAAATCAGAGCCTTGATGTCCGGACTTGACAGAAAGCCATAGACTTTCAGCCAGTTCCGATGGCGTAGCGTTCCTAGCAGCTGCATCTCATGGTTGAACCTGTTGGCAGACCTCTCAACGTGATCCATGATCAGTTTTTTCACCGCAATCACCATTCCGTCGGGAAGAACTCCCTTATAGACAACGCTCTTGGACCCCTCTCCGATGATATTGGCCTCGCTGAAATTGTTCGTTACACTGATCACATCCTGTACAGACAATTTTACTCCGTCGGTAAAATTGCTCATCTCCAAAATTGGTGCTAGCCTTGCAGTTGATTTCTTCTTCTTCCATGTGCACCAAATAGAAGCTGACAGTGCCACAATTCCGACAATGAGAGTGCCAAGTGCGACAGATATGTAGATCCACGTGCGACTCCTCTCCGCACTTGGACTATTACACACCACTCGCGTGGGCTCCCCACAGAGCTCCGAATTACCTGCAAAGGAATCGGTGGAGGAGTTCTGCCAACTGGTAGGAATGGATCCCTGTAACTGGTTATTGGAAAGATCTACGAATCGCATGAAAGAGAGCTCCCCGAGAGAACTTGGAATTCCACCCGAGAGTTCATTGTCCGACAAATCCAGCGACTCCAGTTCTTTGCAGGAGCTCAAAGAACTGGGAATGGAACCGGTCAAGAGATTGAACGAGAAGTCAATTGACACAGCGTGCTCTAGCAACCCGATGCTGTCCGGAATCGCCCCAGTCAGCCTATTTTTCGAGAGATTCAACGTGGAAATGTTCGACTCCGATTGGAATGCAGGAAGTTCTCCACTGAGACTATTGTTGTTCAATCGGACTTCTGTCAGAGAAGAGCCATTGAGGCCACGTACGTAACCCGACAACTGGTTGCTCCCAAGAATTAGCTCCTGGAGTCCTGGTAAGTGGTCGAACTCAGCCGGAATCATTCCCTGAAGCTCGTTACCCTCCAGGTTCAGTACCTGGAGGTTCATGAGTTTACCAAGAGAAGTAGGAATGGTTCCATTCAGACGGTTGAAGCTCAAGTTTATCTGCATCAGCAACAAACAATCACCCAACGAACTCGGAATGCCCATCTCTAGCCTATTCGACTGAAGAGTGACATATTCCAACTTTGCGAGGCGTCCAATCACGACAGGAATTTCTCCATACAGCTGATTCTCTCCCAGATGCAGCTCTCGGAGGGCAGAGCAGTTTGCAATGGAGCTTGGTATGGGACCTTGGAGGGTGTTGGATTCAATGTACAGTTCCTCCAGGTTTGCCAAATTCCCTATCTGTGATGGTATACCTCCTGAAAGAGAGTTCAAGCTAAGGACGAGAACTTGGAGAGATGAGCAGTTTCCTAGACTGGCAGGAATAGTATTAGTTAGCGTGTTGTTCCATAAACTCAAGTACCGAAGAGACTGCAGTCCTCCTAAAGAGTCAGGAATGCTTCCGGTTAAAGAGTTCGCGTTGAGGTCGAGGACCTCAAGCGACGAGCAGTTGGAGAGGTCAGAGGGAATACTGCCAGATAATGAGTTCATCGAGAGGTTGAGGGAGAGAAGGCTCTGATGAGAGCATAGAGAATCTGGGATTATGCCGCTGAATGTGTTATAGGATAAATCCAGAACCGTCAGAAACTGCAGCTGGCCCAGGACCGGAGATATGGTACCGCCCAACTCCCCACCCCTCAGAGAAATATTTACAACACGCAGACTCTCGTCGCAAGCCACGCCCTTCCACTGGCAGACTGCCGTTCCATCTCGCCAGCTCGCAAGCGTCGAATTATCATCCACGACGCCTTTCTTGAACTCAAGAAGTATTCCCTTCTGCTCTTCTCCGACGTCCTGCAGAATTCTCCTTTCCCCAATCGAGCTCGCTTGCACCTGCGAAGCTGACATTCTCTGCACGGTGCTCACACACAGGAAAAGGATGGCGAGGATCCATCGGAATTCGACGAATCTAGCCATCGAGTTCACAACTCTCTGCGGCAAGATGTGGATCGAGCAGCCGAGTCAGTCCGGACTATGGATTCGCCTCGAGAGAATCATGGACGAAGCAAGAAGACTTGCGAGCGCAGTGAGGAGGATCGAAAAGGAGGCAACCCTCGCCCGCCCCGCCCAGCCGAGCCCCTGGGAATTGAATTCCTGACTTGACATTTACTTGGCCGATGCACGAGGTCAACCGCTGCCGGGCAGCCCGCGCTCTTCCCTTCTCCTTCTTACCCGCATTCGATACGAAAGTCTCGACTCGCGAGGCCAAAGTACCCCCTGTCTGACTCGGCAGGTGTCCTCGTCGACAATTACGGTAACGATTTCACTCACCCCTCCGAAAGTCGCTTTCCGCGAGGGTGGCGGGCCCCGCCACCCTCCTCCACTTGTGCCCGACGCGCCGCCCGTCCGAGTCTCAGGGCTCTCATCGAACTACGGGGTCCAGCGTTGCCGTCAGAGTGGTCGTCCACCCAGATAAGACGAATGAGAATCCGCCACGTGGAATCGCAGTTGGCGCTGAAGGGCACAGGGCGACAGAATTCCGAGTAACCGATGGGCGCAGTCGGCCTCCTTCCACCAGGTTCCGTTTCCTGGTGCATGCAGGACCGTGGTACGCAGTGGGATCGGACAGACTTTTTCACCGGTTTCGACGGATGTTACCGGGAATACTGGTGACGGGACCAGGTTCCTATGTTGCTGTCAAAGTTTGACCGTGCAGACCTGGACGCGAAGGCCATTATTTTGTTTCTGAAAAGGATGTGGAAGACCTATTGTCAACGCAATGCTTCAGATTCTTGCTCTTAATGGTCTTTGTCAACTCGAGTTTGAGTGCAGTGTGAGTGTAGCACATCTCCACTTGTCAGAGATTGTCAGTACGGGAACATGCTTTCAATCTCTCTGATAACACCAGAGCATTCGTTCTTTCATCAGGAAGATAAAAGGTACAAATCAAAATCACAAAAAGGATGGGAAGACCACATCAACGGGTCCATCTCATCCATTCATGGACATGATAATCATCATCAGCAGCATAACGGTGCATATAGTCATTTTCAGTTTGAGGTCTCAGTAGCCTGCGCTTGTTTTGTCTGCTGCATCTTAACTCTTGGGCCCTCTATGTTGGACCGCATTGAAGTCAAATGTGTCAGATTTGTGTAGCCATTTGAGGAAGGTTTAGCTTATACCTTGTAACCTACATTATAGAGAGTCCATACCCAACCCATCGGGTACTGTGGGTTAGTTCACTTGATAAGTTCATTTCTTTTGGTTGCAATCTTTATGCATGTGCAAGGTCATGTTTACATCTGTGGCTTGACTCGTTGAAAACTGCATAAGTGTGATTGAATTGTCATTGTTCTATGTCACCAATTCTGATTTGATGGCGATCCTGTAATGATTTTCTTTGTCCGAAAAAAGTGCTATGTAATCCAAATGATCACCTTTTTCTCACCACAAAATTTGGCTCGTATTGAATTGCCATCCAAACTCACGATGTTCTCACCTTTACAGATAGGCGGATTCATCTCTCATCGAACATAAGAACCTTATTTGTGTCTAACAAAGTACCTTAAAGAAATCCACTAGAAATTGTATTAGTTATCTATTAGAAGATGGAAAACTGGAGCATTAGTAGTCTTAGGAGATGCATCCAGTCTGAAGTAAATGAAAACACAACTATAATCCACATAATACAAATTTACGTAGCTATATATATATATATATATATATAGCTAACCAGGATAATGTGTGGAAACACAAACAACTAAATGCAAAATATTCGCCTAATTTTCATTATTTTAAGCAAAAACCAAAATTACTAGTTTTGCATACAGCTTCGTTATATTTTTATAAATAAATTATTTCCTACCATATCAAAAAATCATATTAGAAAAAAAAATCTTGAATTAAAAAAATTGTTAATTGTGATTAAAGGTGAAATTTTCATCAATCATAATACATGTTTTTCCGTCAAGGGGGTTTATATTCAATGTCGATTTGAAAACAATGTACTATTTATGTATGAGGTAAAACTGCAATAATTAAATCAAGGCTGAAATATAATATATGTTGGCTTTTTCACATATTCTTTCACCTTGATATGGATAATTATAACTAATGATTATAAAAATTTATCGTTTATCATCTAGTTTAGATTTTTCCTGGATAATTATGAGTAATTTGGACCCTTATCATACCTTAATATCAAACGTTTGATTTTTGGTTATGCATAATAGTGAAGTTTACGAAACGGATTTGAGCTACAACCAGAAATTCCAAATTGACTTCGTCTTACGAGTATATCCAAGTGTACCTAACGTTGCATATGTAGCTATTCATAAAGGTTAAAAATGGTGCATCTGCCACTTCTTTCCTTGCTCATCTTCCAGATCCCGTTAATTGACTCGCAGACGTCTTTACATTAACCTGAAGAAAAGATAAACCATAAGAAGTCGTCAGAAGACTTGCACACAATATTCGCCTTAAACTATCTACAGCCGTAGAAGGCAGAGGCCAACAGGGTTCCAAAACTATGTAAAGTCCCAAAGAGTCATGACAAGGAAAAGATGTACTGTTTCTCCTTGTAATGAGTAATGTAGAAATCGTCACGACGACTCCGAATCATCGTGGCACTGTGAGAACTTTTGCTTTTCGGTCAGAAAAGACTGCAGTTCTTTTCTCCGCACAATGGGGAAATGAGCAACAGTTTGTATGTAATAGGAACGTGGTTGTCTTTGACTGCGGTTGATTGTGGAAAGGATATAACTTCCTCACGAACACCTGGTGCAAGGACAAGTACGATGTGCAATCTTCCGTTACACTGGATGCCCTAGACCAACCGGTAAATCTCTCCATTCGTCGGCTCCACCCGCAGATAATGCTCCAGTACAACTTTAGAAGGAACTTCTTCGGAAGTAGTTGTAGTGGAAGGTTTAACCGTAGACTACCGTTACAGTCTCCTTCCCATAATCATCAGCTTCCAAAGGTCTGAAAGAGGCAAGCATCTGATCCTTTAATTACAAGGTTATCAACGCACAATCTTGAGTTCAGAGCACCTTCCAGCACGCTACCCGTAAGATACAAGACGCACTTCTTTCTTAACCATGTAGTGTATTAGTAGTAAATAAGAAAATCAAACAATAACTATTATATAATATTTATTATGAATGCAGATATTATTATCACGGGAATTTCTTCATTCATTTCTAGTAAATTTGATAGAAATTTCTTAAAAAGAGAGTTAAAATTTAGTTTACGATTTCATATATTCTCGATCATAGAGTATCTTTGACTCCAAAGTTTCATTTGAAAAACCAACGAGAATGGTTCATCTTAAAATGGAAGATGTTACGCTCCACAGCCCTAGTACTCGGTCTAGCTATGGTGTGGTCTTGCAGTCCAACTAATACATACTTCTTCGTAGGTCAAACTATATCGAGCGAAGATAAATCTAAAGTTGGTTTGACGCGGCTAGCAGTTATCGGGAATCCAAGATGATATTGATGGTCAAGAGTTGGAGCCAATGCATAGTACAGTATTGATGATTGTTCACTCAGCAAAATGTGATTTACATTAAATTACGACATAAAACGGATGTTTCTTACAGTGCAGAATGGTCGCCATGGTGAAAGTAGTCAGATACTGTTTTATATCATTAGCTCAGTTTTAAAGCTGATTGGCTTTACTTCTACAGGCATTTAGACATGGAGGATCATTGCAATGCAAATTTTTAAGATATATTTCCCTTGATATTTTTGAAAAATAAAGATTATATATTCAATAAATTGTAGCATTCTACCCATCATATACAAACCTATAACTTTTTTGCACTGAAACTAAGTGATAAAGTCTTTGGCATCTAACGCACATCGATCTGATTAGACGGAATAGGTAACTGCATAAGAAATGCCTACATAAACTAATAGGTAACTTCTTCAATACTAGATCTTTATCAATATTTGAAAATCATTCAATGAAATATATCACACATGAATGTTGGAAGTTTGTCGGAGTTATATTTATTTGACTAATCAAATGAACAAAATATTTACGCTATTCTAATAGTACAAATTAGATTAAAAATATTGAGTGCGTCCCTCAATTACTTGAATAAGATAATTTGGCTAGACATTTACTAGATGTACATGCACAGGACATAATACAGAGTATCAATGCCAAAAGTAAAATTTAGATATAATTTTCGGGAGCCAATAATTTGTGCGTTTGCATTCGAATTTACAATATCTTGGAAACTCTTCCGTATTTAGGGGATTTTGTTAAAGCGTGATCTGTGAATTTACGTGATCTGTGTTTGACTTCTATGAACGAAAAAAGCAGTGCCATCGCCGGATTTTCAGGAACAATTTTTCTGAATAATATTTACCATCCCTATCATTGGTCTTCGCTTTCAATTAAGTTCAACAACCTATAGCGATAACTTATAGATTGAACGCAGAGACCTTTTCAATGAAGTTGAGTCGAATGGACACGAACGTAGGTACCTCTACAGTGCTACAATGTGCTTTACCTGTAGTTTGCATGCACGTTCCACGGTGTCATGATCACTTGAATAATCCATCCTCATGATCAATAGCTGAGCATCGTAGAAAGTTGCAGATAATGAGAGCTGACTTCTTCAATGAAAACTGCCGGCAATCGCATTAATGGTAGCACAGCGCATTGGAATTCTTCAGATAGGAATTGTTGCATTCAGGGACGACATGTGGAGGCAGGTGCAGGAGAGATGCCCGATAAACACAGAGGAATGGGACGTTCACATTTAATCAGGCCTACCAGGAGGTTCGAGATATCAGATAGTTTGAGAGGTATTCAGTGCAGACCACAGAACTGCCAAATCCGAATTTCAAATTCAGCACCACGATGAACCTTGCAACAGTGTCATAGTGTCTTCGTTTGGTATGGTGAAGAAGGAAGGATTTGTTGTTGCCTCCATCTCCCCTCTTTGTCTGCATATCATGAACTCTTGATAGGTGAATATAAACTTCTTAAAACCGGAGCCTTATCAATGAGTTTTGAGCAGCTCAAGTCTTAGACGACAGGCATGCGGTGTGAAAATCTTTTATTAAGATCAGAGGAAACTCTAGCAAGTGTTACAAGTGAAGGTGAAAACGTCTACACAATGCTGAATTTGGGTTAGATTGAGGAGGTAAATGATTGCATGATGGTCCAAGTCCAAAAAAACGAAATAAAGGTCATGAA